ACTTTTTCTCCCTTGCCGGGATATTGAAATTGCCGTTATTTTTCCCTTGCCGGGATTCCTATTTTGTTTGTCTATTCTCTCGCCCCATTGTTTGTGATTGTTGTTTGTGTGAGGACGAGTAATAAAGCACGAAGGGTGATGCCGTGCACGATTGTGATATGAAAACTAATGCACGAAGGAACATTCCGTGCCATGACATTAATACTAATGCACGAAGGAACATTCCGTGCCATGATATGATTACTAATGCACGAAGGGACATTCCGTGCCATGATGTGAGTGTTATGTACGAAGGATCATTCCGCGCCATCATTTTGTGAGGTAAAGCACGAAGGGTGATGCCGTGCACTTTATATGATTGTTTTGGGTGAGGAAGAGTGTTAAAAGCACGAAGGGTGATGCCATGCACTTATTGCAGTTTGCTATGATTTCTTGTTGTTATCAGTTCAAGTGCATTAAATGTCTTATTCCACTATTTCTGTGATCCTTTATGTTGACATTTCCTCCTTTTTGTGTTATTTGTTATTATTGAACCAAGGTGTCTTTGCACAACGTTATGTCTTTAATTTATGCCTTAATTGCTATATGTTTATGTGACTTAATTGCTACGTGACATCCAACGTATTAATTACTAAACTGCCTACTTGCCCCCTATAATCCATAATTAATTGCTATTTGTCATTATTTGTTTTCCTTAGTGAATCATAAATTTTGTGTACTTGTGTCTTATGAACTCGTATTAATTGTTGCGTTTGTTAGAGTAAATTTTCTTTTGGAGGAACTGTTGATTAAATGAAATGGGAGCGGGTGGTACGCCTACCACGAGATATTAAGAAATGGGATCGGGTTGCACGCCTGCAACAAGATGAGTTGAATATGAAAGCTGCCTTATCTCTTCATTTATTGCTAGAAGTTAAACTGTAGATGTACGCACCATTATTCCTGATATTTTGTATCTATCGGTTACCCCCTAAGCATGCTCCCTTCCCCAGCTTAAATTGTTATTTTCTTGCTACATTTCCGTTGTTCTTGTGTATATATCTGCACAGGTTTATTTGGTGGTTTGGTCCTAGCCTCGTCACTATTTCGCCGGGGTTAGGCTAGGCACTTACCAGCACATGGTGTCGGTTGTGCTGATACTACACTCTGTGCTATTTTGCACAGATCCAGGCTTCGGACAGCAGCAACAGTAGTGTGGGAGCAGGCTTTCAGTCCAGCGAGACCCGAGGTAGCCTTGTAGTCGTTCGCAGGCTCTAGCGTCTCCTTTCATCCATATTCTTGTTTCCTTCATGTATTTCTGGAGACAGTGTCGAGTTTATTTCTTTCAGACCTTTATGTGTAGTATTCTTAGACCGTCTGTGAAGCTGTGACACCAGTCTTGGGTAGAGGCCTTTGTTGGGACTTTCCGCATTTTTAATTCAGTTTTCTATAATATTGAGACTTCCGCTTATTATTTAAATTCATTACTTTTGTATTATTACCGATAATGGTTATAAGGAATTATATTATTAATGGAAAGGTAATTAAAATTGGCTTGCCTAGCTCTCATTAGTAGGCACCATCACGACTCCCGAGGGTGGAAAATCCGGGTCGTGACATAACTGCCCCTCACATATGTAGGAAGACCTATGATCGGCCTGTAGCTGTAGTAGCTCTAGGGAGGCAGGTCCAAGATGCAAAGGCGGAACCTCCATGACGACTACTGTAAATTGAGCAAAATTAATTACATTATAGTTTCTTTTCCATTGCTTAAATATATTGCAATAACTTGAATATTAAATTTTATTCGATATTTTTACTATATTGTTAATTAGGTTGATACATTTTCAATATTATAATTTATATTTTATATGTTAATTTAATATGTTAGTTTTATTATTTTATATGTTAGTTTTATTATTTTTGTATGTTTGTTAGTTATTCACCTATTTTTTACTATACGTGATTTAATTATTAAATATTTACATTTTGGTTGCGGACACAATATTTGAAGCCCAGTAGCACCAATGTATCCTGAATTCTTGTGTTCATGATGAGAAAATTTTTGTGATTTTTCACTCAACAGGTATGTTATTTATATGTTAGTTTATTATTGTATATGTTAGTTTTATTATTTAATATGTAAGTTTGCTTATTTTATATGTTTGTTTTTTTCTTACTGACTTATTTTTTACTATACTAAAATTAAATAATTAATTTTCATAACTATACAAGATTTAATTATTAAATATTCACATTTTGGTTCCGGACACAATATTTGAGGCCGAGTAGCACCAATGTATCCTGAATTCTTAGTTCTTACGTTTGTTGACTATAATTGGAGATAGTTTGTGTTTGAACTATCAGCTTTTTGACGTATTTTTGGGAATAAGAGATACTTAAATGATTAATTTCTATAACTACAAGGATACTACGCTAAAGGGCACTACGTTTTACTACACTAAAAGGTCACTACATTACATATACGAGCACTACATTAGGCCACAAGATACCACTACAGGGAACTAAAGTAATAACTTATCTAGTTACTAGTCTTTTAGCAAATAAATAATCTAAACCGGATAAAAACAACAAATCAATATAATCACAAAACAATCACAAATTTATATATACCACACTAAAGAGTAACTAATTAATATTTTTTTAACAACTAATAACAATTTCTTTATTTTTTAAATTTTTTTAGACTGAAGAATACTATAGTCCGGATAAAAAAAAAATTAGTTAAATCGCAAAACAATCACAAAAGTAACATAGAGCACATAAAACTCAACTAATATGCATTTTTTATACAAGTTTAACAAAAACTAAGTCGAAATACCTCGATTTAAGATATTTAGAAAGTCGAAGATTTTGTGATTTGGAGCCGAAACAAGCAACAATGTCCGAGATAACGCCTTAGCTAGTACGTGGGACCAAGAATCTTTACTTTTTGTGGACGGGTGGACTCCACTCAAGCTTTTTTGGATTAAAAAATTAGGGGGGGGGGGGGGGGGGGTTTACAAGTGAAGACGGGTCTCTGTTTTGGGAAGGT